TGCTGATATGGAATTTATTGAAGGAATATTTGGAGTTGGTGTTTGTTATGAAAGAGGATTTGGTGTTAATAAAGATGAAAATAAAGCCTTTATTCATTATCAAAAAGCTGCCGAGATGGGTCATATTATTGGAATATATAATGTTGGTTATTGTTATGATCAAAGAGTTGGTGTTGAATTAGATGAATATAAAGCGTTTATTTATTATCAAAAATCTGCTGAAATGGGGTTTATTGGTGGAATTTATAATGTTGGATATTGTTATCAATATGGAATTGGTGTTGAATTAAATGAATATAAAGCATTCATTTATTATCAAAAATCTACTGAATTAGGTGATGCTTGTGGAATAAATAATCTTGGATATTGTTATGAAAACGGGATTGGAGTTGAAATAGATAAACATAAAGCATTTATCTATTATCTAAAATCTGCTAATATGGGTGAAACTATTGCAATAAACAATGTCGGTTATTGTTATCTTTATGGAATCGGCATTGAACAAGACGAATATAAGGCATTTATTTATCATAAAAAATTAGTTGAAATGTGACAAATAACTTTGATTTATAATTAATTTTGATTTTTTTTTAAAAAAAAATAAAAATAAAAATAATTTTGATAATTAAATCATTTGCAATAATTAATTTTATAAATTTTTTTTTTTACTATGATATCTAATTTATTTATTAAAATGGTGAATAATAGAACTTATTTTATTATCAATTAAATAAAATAAAAGAGCGAGTGGTTTATCGATTACAAGTGAAATAAATGATTTTCAAATTAATATCGACGTAAATTGAGAAATAACGCCCAGAGCATTAAAGATCATATTTTTTATAGTTTGATATAGAATTTGGGGCCTGTTTTATTTTTCATGTGTTAAAACCGATTCAAAATGGGTTTTCACAAATAATCATATTTAAGTACTTTAATGCTTTATGTTGCTCTGCTGACGGAGTTAAATCACTGCCAAGTACACTCAAAATCTCCTCTCGAGCTTTTTGTTGAACATCCTAGATAAATAAAAAGTTCAAGAATATTTAATAAAAGAGCTATGGTTATTCAAATAAAAAATAAAGATTTTTAAAAATCAATGAAAAAAATTCATACTTTATGAATTGACAAAAGATATAAAATAGTTGCTAAGGAATTTGCAGCTGAATTTATAATAAAATTATAAATTATAATAATTAATTATAAAGTTAAACCTATATTCAAAAGTCAATGTACTGTCACCTACTTGTATCATGACCAGCAACCATTAAAATTGCCAAATTGTGCTATAAAAAACAAAACCACAATGTCATCTAAGATACTGTACATTATTATGTAATATTTATTATACACAATTTACAATAATAAGAATTTATCATACTCTTATTTCAATATCATTTAGCCCTTGATTATCTGGATCATCATTGCCAGCTTTTATCATAAGTTCTAAAAGGTCACCATTGACTTTTCCAGCAGCCATAGATTTATGTTTCTTTTCAATAAAATCATCAAATAATTTTTCTAATTTCATAACCTTTCTAATATATTTATTTTTAAAGTAAGGAATGCGATCCAATGAGAGAAGATTAAGCAAAGGGCTTTTGAGTAAGTTCTGAACTTCATTATATGTTGTTACATAAATGTTATTTGGATCTTCAAGATTCTAATTTTAAATTTTAAACGTTAATTTTAATTGGTTATAATCTAAATATGAAGAGAAAATATTGTCTATACATACATTAAAATCAAAATCAAAAACGGCTTTTCCAAGTACATCTAAAGCAAATCTAAAAAATTTAAAATATTAAATATATGTATATAAACAGAATGTTTTTAATACACTCTACCCTCGTTATAACGGACCCTTCGGGCTGAAAGATTTTGTCCATTATATCCATAATAAATGATATCCGTTATAATATAATATAATATAATAATAATAATTTCAAATTGTTTAGAAAATTACTCCGTTATAATATGGTATCCGCTATATCGGGGTCCGTTATAATGAGGGTAGAATGTATTTATTTTATTACCTATGCATAAGATCCACAACTTCAATAGGCTTATTATCGATTGTTTCTAAGATATTCATCAATTTAAAACTCCCTTCGACGAATAAATGTACTGGTAAAACCTTAAATGCGAGATTACATATACGCCTAAATAAAGTAATTATACCCTCCTGTTAGTATTTTTTTTTTTTTATAAATTATAATATCATATGGTGCATAACACATAATTATTTAATAAATTATAATATAATAACACATAATTATTTAATAAATTAGGTCCCATTTTTATCATTTCGTAAATTGGAAGAAGATCTAAAATATAAAAATCATGTAAT